CCCCGAAGCCCAGCAGCTCCCTGGAATAAACTTCTGCAGGTTTTCTGAAACACTTTCTTTAATCGGGAGCGAAGTATTTCAAGTTGTGCCGAAGGAAAGGCTGCAACTGCCCGGCAGCTGCCCCCATTTTGGGAAGAGGAGGGGATGAAAAGGTCACTTGTCCCACTGATGGCACAGGAACATGGGGATGGTCTTTGGCACGGCTGGCCAGTGGCTCCCACACCTTCTCCTCGCTCCCCACCAGGTTTTCCTCTCCCCATGCAGTCCCCAAGGAGGGTGATGAGGAGAGGCAGCAGCCCAGGGGATGCTCTGTCATCGCCCGAGCCCCCCAAAGAGCTTCTCCTCCCAGGGCAGCTGGGGTCACGGCACCCAGGAGGGCATTTACCTTCCCTCGGGTGAAACGTGCTGTTAAATTAAGACAGGAAGAGATGTACAGAACCTGAGAGAGCAATTACTGAACCTCCTGCAGGAGATGGTTTGTGCAACCTCATTAAAGGTGGCTTGAGAAAAAAACAAAGTCGCCACATCTGCATATTTTATATATATATCTATATATATGTGATGCTTTGCATCACATGCACCCAAGTGAGCTGAGCAGCACCCTGAGAGGGGAAAAAAAGTTACCTGGAGCTGATGACCCACTACACAACTCCAGCACAGCCACCAGCAGCCTGGTTGTGCCCCCCACGTGCTGCATCCCACTGCCCAAACGCTGCCCGGTTGCGGTGCCACGGTGGCCCGCAGCCCAGCAGGTTGAGTTACCCTCTGCCTGCCAAAAGACAGGAGCTAATAAATTCATCCCAGGTGAATTAAAGCGTTTCATTTAGATTTTGACCTTTTAAAAGAAAATGAATAATGCATTTCAAAATAAAAACTCATTTCAGACTTGAGAAGCACAACACTTCCAGCTGGAAATGCCAGGGTGACGCATTATAACACCAAAGTTTTTTCAGCCTTTAGCTTGATCCTTTAAATCCCAGTGCCAGCAGCCACCCTGGACTGCTGGGTTTTCCCCACCAGGCTCCTTGGGGAAATCTTATGGAGCTGATGGAGTGGTGGTTCCCCCTGTGTCACTGTTCCATCAGCCTGATGGTCCCCCAGGGCTCTGGCAGCACCAATAAATTCATGGTGGAACCATCCTCCCCCGTGTCATTGATTAATTGATAATGAAATTACATTCCAGGACGTAACTGTCCTCTGCTCTGGACAGAGAGCTCTGTGAAGGGGCTCGTTCAGGAGCTCCCCATCACTCTGGGCACCGCTCCTTCAGCCTGCAATTAGGCACTGCAGAAGTTAATCAGCTTTAGGAATAGCCCAAGAGCCAGATTGGCCTCTCCCTGCCATCGTGTGCCCATTACTTGGCCAACTACAGCCACAGGCAATGCCTGGCTCCATCAGGGGGATGCCATCTCTGCCCAAAAAAGGTGCCACATGGGTGGGGGTGACACCAGGGCACCTTCTTGTCCCCCTCCCGCGCTCAGGGCTCCAGCAGTCGCCCTCCACCACGGCCAAACCTCCCGGGCAGGTTAGGGAATCATTTGCTTAATGCTGCACTGTCACTTTCCAACGAGTCTATCAGCTTTCCATTTGGCAGAGACTCTAAATACTCGTTTCAGCTAATAAAGACACCCGGTAATGTCGTATTACGAGGCTGGCGAGCTCCCAGCAAATATTATGGTGAGCCTTTGTTTAATTAGGGGTTTCTCAGGCAGCCGCAATTCTGCCCTCGTAATGGGGAAAAATAAGCTGGGTTCCAAAGTTTGAGCCCGAGGAGGACCCTGCTGAAGCCCGGGCACCTATTTCCCAGCCTGAAATGGCCTTTTGCTGCTGCAGGAACTCCATCTTTTTCTCTTTTTGATTTTTTTTTTTTTAGATTTATTTTCTCATTTCTGCTTGCCCTGCCCCGGGCATGGGTAGGGCTGGCTGGGCATAAGGGCTGGGAGCTGGGGATGATTTAGCTGCTTTTTCTGTTCCTCTGCTGCTCTTCTTGCAACACCTTCCCCTTGCCCCTCACCTCGGAAAACCTGGCACAGCCTCTGATGCCAAGGAGTTGCAGTTTTGGGCCCCTCACTACAGGAAAGACATTGAGGTGCTGGAGCGTGTCCAGAGGAGAGCCACCAAGCTGGGGAGGGGTCTGGAGAACAAGTCCTATGAGGAGAGGCTGAGGGAACTGGGCATGTTTAGTTTGGAGAAGAGGAGGCTGAGGGGAGACCTCATTGCCCTCTACAACTACCTGAAAGGAGGTTGTAGAGAGGTGGGGGTTGGACTCTTCTCCCAAGGGAATGCTGACAGGAGCAGAGGGAACGGTCTGAAGTTGGGGCAGGGGAGGCTGAGATTAGATCTTAGGAAGAATTACTTTACTGAGAGAGTGGTCAGGCACTGGAACAGCCTGCCCAGGGAGGTGGTGGAGTCACCATCCCTGGAGGTATTTAAGAAACGTGTAGACGTGGCTCTTCAGGGCATGCTCTAGTGCCCAAGATTATTGGTTTGTGGTGGGGTGTTGTGTGTGGGGTTGTGTGTGGGGGGTTTAGTTGGTGGGTGGTGGTTTTGGCTCCTGCCTCCCCCAGGTCCCAGCCCAGGGAAGGCTCTTTGTTCTGAGGATCAGTAAAGTTCATCTCAACACCCCCCACCTGGGTAAGCAAATGAGTTTTGATGGGTTTTTCCACCCACCCTGCTCTGGCTGGGAAATGCCAGCGCTGGAGAGCAGCCCATGTAGGCAACGGGAGCAGGAGCCATCCCTGTCACCTCCCATCAGGGCACCCAAAGCCAGGGAGGGCACAGAAAGGTGCTGGAGCAACACCCCGGCACATGCCACCATCCCTCCGTGTCCCACCTGCTCGGAGTGGTCCCAAAAGTCACCGAAACCAGGGGAAGCTCTTTCCCATCTCTCCTTCCCCGGGCGCTTGGATGATGAGACACGAGCCGAGAAGTTTAGGGTGAATTAATTATATCATTACCAGGAGCAGGAGCCATCCCTGTCACCTCCCATCAGGGCACCCAAAGCCAGGGAGGGCACAGAAGGTGCTGGAGCAACACCACGGCACATGCCACCATCCCTCCGTGTCCCACCTGCTCGGAGCAGTCCTGAAAGTCACCAAAACCAGGGGAAGCTCTTTCCCATCTCTCCTTCCCCGGGCACTTGGATGATGAGACACGAGCCGAGAAGTTTAGGGTGAATTAATTATATCATTACCCGAATCCAATTTTCTTCCTGACATGAATGAAATGGGAAAGAGAACAACAAGTTGCGCATGAGACACACGGTCCTACAAGTTTATTGTCATTAGCGGGGACAACTCCATTAACGAGCGTGAAGGCTCCATCCCAGCCCTTTCCAAGGACCATGATTTCAATGTTTGAGCAGCGACGTGCACGGCCCCAGCCCCGTTTCTGCCGGGCTCTGCACCTCTGCAGAGGCTCTTTGCTCTCTGGCAAGAGGGGATCTCCCCCCAAGCTCCCTGCCCATAGGGCAGACCCACTACCAAACCCACTCAGATTCACCACCATGGTTTAATTAAAGTCAACACAGTGAAATCAAACTAACAGACACCTGCTCTGCAAATATTTATGGGGCTGTGTGTGCCATAGGAAAGGAATTCCGGGCTGGAGAAGGCATCGTGGCTCTGACCTGGGGAGAAGGGAAGCCCCAAGGTGCCAACTGGCTCCCTGTTTCCTCACACTCACCTAAAACTCTGCAGCCAAATACAGGCACACGTGTAATTAATCCAGCCACCTCATTACACCTTTGTCCTCTGCAAGAAAGGCATCAGCATCACGGGGCTGACCTCAGATCATCTCCATCCCACCAGAGACACAGGGCTCTGCAAAGCCTTTTCCCACATGCCCTTACACCACTAAGAAGTGACAAATTCTCACTTTGGTTTCTCTTAACCCAAGTGCTACCAGAGGCTTCATTTACCAGCCCTTCCTGCTGGCCACCAGCAGCACCACAAAGGAGTGTGGACCTGGGTGTCCAGGTCCCTCCTGAAGGAGCCGGGACACGAGACGCCTCCGTTTTCCAGTGGAAAAAGTCTTTTTCCACCAGCCCTTCCTGTTGGCCACCAGCAGCACCACAAAAGAATGGTCTTGGGTGTCCAGGTCCCTCCTGAAGGAGCCAGGACACAAGATACCTCCGTTTTCCAGTGGAAAAAGTCTTTTTCAACTTTTCTTCATGGTCTTGCCACCCTGCCCAACTGCACTGCCCAAGTCTTATGGTTATCGGTGAGCGAGACGATGCAGGGGACGGTCACATTCAATGGCAGAAGGGCCACCAAGCTGCCAGCTCAGCTCCAGTCCCCACCTCATCATCATCATTTAGCAGGGCACAGTTATTTTACCACGGGCACTTCATTTACCAGGGGCCACGAAGGCCTGCCTGGCTCTGGAGCTGCCTCCCTAGCCCCGGCACCAGCTCATTCATAAGCCTCCAGAAATACCGTTGCATGAAAACGTAATGAAAATTATTCAGCTAATCTACTTTAATAACCCGACTTCGGGGCCTCTCCGCGCCGCAGACAGCATAATCATTTTTTAAAATATTAGCTGTCATTTCCCATCAGGCGGAGGAACTCGGCACACGACTTCAGCGGGGCTACTCATCCACCAGCCTCACGGCCCTGGAGGGTCCCTGGGAGAGGGGTGGGCTTCCCCCACTGCTGCAGTGGGGCACGGTGAGGGGTAGGGACCCCCCCCAGGCACCAGTGAGAACAGGGGGAGCCTTTTAGTACCCAATGGACAAGATTATAAACTCCCAGAGACAGGGCCATCATCCTTTCACCCTGGAGGTATCAGCCCACACTTAATTTTCCTGTCATTCCCCTCCAGTCCCTGCTCCCACTGGGATGCTCCAGGTGATTGGGGGTGACACAGGGGACCCCCAGTGTCCCCAAGCACAGGGGTGATGCCACCCTGGGCAGGGTAAGCCCAGCACTCACCTCCACAGGATGGGGACTCCCAGGGTTTCCACCTCCCACAGTAAAAAAATGCCCCCACACTCTGCCTGTTCCGCACAGCGAGTTTAATTGATCAAGGATGAGTAAGAAGTATTAAAAAAATCCCCACAAAAAACCGCTTGGGTGCGTGCAAAACTCGGTGCAGAATATAAAACGCTTCAAAAATATTCCGCAGAATCAAATCTGCAAACTTTTTAAAGTTAAAAAAAGGATTGCAACACGTCCAAAATATAGTAACAAAAATAAAGACACCCTGCGTGGTAGCAAACACACTCACCCTCCACAATTTGAGCAGCCAGAGCTGCGTGGCACCACCAGCCAGGGGTCCTGGCAACCAGTGATACCCCCAGGATCAGCGAGGTGACCACGAGGGGACCCAACTCATGACCCTCCCACCTGCAAACAACACCTTAGGAGGATTCAGAGAAAATTCAGAGGTGTGAGGGGCTGCCAGGCAGTGCAGGACCAGCTGCTCTGCCAGGGTGGGCATCCCTCACTGGTAGAGGACCTTCACGCAGAAGGTTTCCTCGTTCTTGTCCTCGTGGTCATTGATGTGAATCAGGATCTCCTCCTCGCCCACGCTCTGGCTTGGGGCGAAGCGCAAGCCGATGGTGTACACCTCCCCACCGGCCACCTGCAGGAGAAGGGGAGGGAGGAGAGGTGGCAGGACATGGCATGGACCCCTCTGTATGGCCACCCTTCCCAGAAAGCATGGTCCTGATCATAGAATCATCATAGAATCATCATAGAATCATCTGGGTTGGAAGGGACCTCCAAAGGCCATCTAGTCCAACCCCCCCGCAGTCAGCAGGGACACCCCCAACTAGACCAGGTTGCCCAGGGCCTCGTCGAGCCTCTCCTTGAATATCTCCAGGGATGGGGTCTCAACCACCTCCCTGGGCAACCTGTTCCAGTGCTCCACCACCCTCACAGTGAAGAACTTCTTCCTAATGTCTAATCTAAATCTGCTTTTCTCCAGTTTAAAGCCATTACCCCTTGTTCTGTCATTGACAGCCTTTGCAAACAGACTCTCCCCAGCCTTCTTCTAGCCCCACTTCAGGTACTAGAAGGGAGATGTTAGGTCCTTCCGGAGCCTCCTCTTCTCCAGGCTGAACAACCCCAGCTCCCTCAGCCTGTCCTCGTAGCAGAGGTGCTCCATCCCCCTGATCATCCTTGTGGCCCTCCTCTGGACCCTCTCCATCAGGTCCGTGTCCTTCTTATATTGAGGGCTCCAGACCTGCACACAATACTCCAGGTGAGGTCTCACCAGAGCAGAGTAAAGTGGCAGAATCCCCTCTCTGGACCTGCTGGCAACGCATCTTTTGATGCAGCCCAGGATGTGATTGTCCTTCTGGGCTGCAAGTGCCCACTGCCTGCTCATGTCCAGCTTCTCGTCCACCAGCACCCCCAAGTCCCTTTCCTCAGGGCTGCTTTCTAATACCTCACCCCCCAGTCTGTACTGATGGTGAGGATTGTTCCGGCCCAGGTGCAGAACCCTGCACTTGCTCCTGTTGAACCTCATGAGGTTTACCTGAGCCCACCTCTCCAGCCTGTCCAGGTCCCTCTGGACATGATGCAGCATCACCCCCTGCATCCACCACCCAGCATCGCTCCGTGTCCTGCATCCACTGAGCATCACTCTGCCCATCGCGTGGTCCAGCTGGATGAGGACAGGGGTCCTACGAGGGGGGGTCCTGGCAGCAGGAGAACCTACCTCGAAGGAATCCTCCTTGAACTGCAGGAGGTCGGGGCGGTTGGTGCACAGGAAGTAGAGCCGGGGCGAGGGGTAGGGGTTGGTGTAGGTGATGCGCTTGTTGCAGCCTCTCCCACCTCCCGCTGGCAGCGAGATCTCAAAGGCCTGTGGGTGGAGGACAAGCCATGAGGGGGGTGGCACAGAGTGGGGGGGGACAGAGGGAACAAGGGGCTTTCCCCCCAAACACACTACGGAGAATTGCCTTCTACACGGAGGCACCACAGGAGACTTTTTGGGGGACACATTGCCCCTCCATCCCCTCCTTCCACACCTTCCTTTGATCTCTGCCAGGAGATAAACCACCACCTCCTTTGAAGAAGTAATTACGAGCCCAAGTGTCAAAGGGCCAGGGGAGCAGCTGGGAATGGCCAGCTCATTCTCCAGCTAATTAATTGACATCCCGCTCGCTTGCTCAGATAACACACACACACACACCCCGCAGCACGGGGAGGTGGGCTGGCACCCAGCAGGACACTGGGGCATCGGTTTAAACACCGATCCGAACTTCCCTGGGTACCCAGGGCTTTGGGAAAACATTTTTAAAAGGGATGCACGAGCTGGGAAATGTAATTTTCCATCTTTGAGGCCAGCCCTCCGCCGGCGCGGTGCTAATGGAAAGCAGCGTGCCGGAGCTTTAATTTCACAACCCAGAATACTTCAGCTGGCACTGCCCAGCGTGGGACTGCCTTCAAAACAGCCTCAAAGACACGGCACCGTGGTCTTCAGAGAGATTATTCCAGCCCCAAGGGCCCCTGGGTTACCAGCTGGGGTGTGACCATCGGTCTGACACCGTCACCGTGACCTCCTGGCCCAAGAGCCGCCGTACCTTGGAGATGAGGGGCTGCCTGCAGGACAGGCAGAGCAGCCAGGAGGACACCAGCTGGTGGGACTCCACGTCCACCAGGTTGAGGTAGATGAACCTGCTGCCAGCCCGCCGGGGCCGCACGCCCACATACAGGTCCTGGAGGCCATTGGGGGGCAGAAGGAAGGCACCATCCGGATCCACCTGCAAAAAAAAAAAACCCAACAGTGGGAGCTGAAGCCACCTGTGATGCCCATCACACCCCCACCACGTCCAGCAGGGAGCACAAACTGACCCCATTGCTCTTAAAAACCTGTGCAGCTCTGCCATCACCCCCAAATCCCACCCACACCAATACACCAGGACTGGTGTCGTGTCACAGAATCACAGAATCTTCTAGGTTGGAAGGGACCTTAAAGATCATCTTGTCCAACCGTCAACCTAGCTGACAAAAATAGACACCCACACAACAAACAAGGAGCATCATCCCTAAACCATACCTCCCAGCACTTCATCAACCACTCTTTTGAACCCCTCCAGGGATGGGGCCTCAACCCCCTCCCTGGGCAGCCCATTCCAATGGCTGAGAACCCTTTCTGTGAAAAAATTTTTCCCAATATCCAGCCTGAACCTCCCCTGGTGTAACTTGAGGCCATTTCCTCTCATCCTGTTGCCTGTGACTTGGGAGAAGAGACCGACCCCCACCTCTCTACACCCTCCTTTCAGGGAGTTGGAGAGAGCAAGAAGGTCTCCCCTCAGCCTCCTCTTCTCCAGGCTGAATAACCCCAGCTCCCTCAGCCTCTCCTCAGGAGACTTGTGTCGGGAAGGGTCAGAGCCCCCCAAGGAGACCCAGCTCCCCCCAGCCCAGGGATTCCCTCCCCTCACAAGCTTCACCAGCAGAGACTTCTGCTTTTTTGTTTAGGGGCCAGCGACGGAGGCTTTTGTGCCTTTTATTATTCACACTCGCAATTACGGCCAAGCGAATTCTAAAGAAATTGTTAAGTCTTCAGATGGTCTCATTAACGCAGATAATTTGCCCTCCGGGGTTTGGTGCGGATGATCCTACACATGACAGCTCTAATCAAAAGATAATTATCGCAAACACTTTACGGCGGTAAAAATTGTTCATCATTCCAAGTGGGGCTGCCTTCCCCTCTCCGGGAAGGGGGGCTCTGGTCCAAGCCAGCCCCGTGCTGGCCACAACATGAATGCCCTGGGCAACCCCGTGCCCACCTTGGGGAGGGGGATTTACCTGCAGCTCCTGGGGGTGGGAGGTGAAGACCTGCACCCTTCGGGGGGCCGGGGTGCCCCGCAGCAGCAGGGAGAGGCGGGCGAGCTGCCCGGCCGTGCAGCTGACGTCCAGGCGCTGCAAGGAGTGCAGGTAGAACTGCCAGATCTGGATGGGTGCTGCCAACCAGGCATCCCTGTGGCACGGACAGACAGACAGACGGACAGGAGTCACCCATGGGCACCTTCCAAGGAGCCCACTTCCATCCCACCCATTCGTGTGGCGCAGGGAGAGCCCAGCCAGCTCAGGAGGCATTAACTCGTGCAGCAGAGATGCTCCAGCCAGGGATTATTTGGAGGAAAATAGAGTGATGGAAAAATAGAGTGATGTAAAACCCTGAGCTGGGGACATTTTGGTCCCCCTCCTGCCCAGCTTTCTGACACTCAGGAAGCTGGAAGCAAGGAACGGGTGGCACAGGGTCCCCTCCTGCCCCACCACACCCCCAGGCTTAGCCCTTCTCCCTTTCTTGGGAGAAAGTTCTACTCAACTTACGTATAAATAGCCACAAAGAACTTCTTGATCTGCGGGCTTGGTCCTCCGGCAACTTTTAAGAAGATGTCCTGTGGCTCCCCGGGCCCCTGCACCAGAAACCAGAGCGTGGTTCCAACAGTTAACCTCCATCAAACCAGCTAACGAGCGCTCCAGGGTCTGCTTCCCATTAACGCACAAACCCGCCACCAACCCACTTATAAAAGCAGATGCTTTTCAGCATCTAGTTAAACTACGTTATTAAGTTATTATACAGCTTGGCTGAGCTCTTCCAGTATTTTTAATTACAAAAGAGGATACAAATGACTATCGCATTCCAGGTCTGCATCTGTAATCAAATTTTGGCAAATTTTCCCCAAGTTTTCTAACAAGCCGTAATCCAATTACCATACTAACACGTCCCTGCAATGGCAATTAGCAACTACCCTTCATCACCATCTGCATGTACGTGCCCACGCTTATTTTTTTTTTTTCCCTTTCTACCCACCCCAGCTGTGGAACAAACCCAGTAAAAGCCAGGCTGGGCATCGCTGGGCGCAGGGAGGGATGGAGCCAGGGCTCAGCTCAGCCCAAAGCCCACCTCAGCCTGGCCCATCCCGTACGTGCCCACACTTATTTTTTTTTCCTTTCTACCCACCCCAGCTATGGAACAAACCCAGGAAAAGCCAGGCTGGGCATCACTGGGCTCGGGGAGGGATGGAGCCAGGGCTCAGCTCAGCCCAAAGCCCACCTCAGCCTGGCCCATCCCCAGCATCACCCAGCAGAGATGGTCTACCAAGGGGTCAGGGGACACATCGTTCCCCCCCACACACCCCCCCAGCAGTGGGGAAGGTCTATCCCACAGCCACCAAAAGGCTGTTCTTCCCCAGCATCTTAATCATCTGGTGTTTGCTGAGAAGAACGAGTGGGTACAGGCTGCTGCACGATGAGATAAGGTGCAACGTTCAGCTCCAGCCACAAAAAAAAACAACCCCTAATGCAGCTCCTTTTCATTGGGAATAAAGGGTAATTCATCCCCACCCGTGTTTCACTGCCACGGGCTGATAAATGGGGATGCTCCGTGGGTGCGAGGCATCTCCCTGCCGAGGAGACCACCCCTGTGGGGGGAACACCCCACAGCAGGAGGGCACAGAATCACAGAATCTTCTAGGTTGGAAGGGACCTTAAAGATCATCTTGTCCAACCCTCAACCTCACTGACAAAAATAGACACCCACACAACAAACAAGAAGCATCACCATCACTAAACCCTATCTCCCAGCACTACATCAACCCCTCTTTTGAACACCTCCAGGGATGGGGCCTCAACCCCCTCCCTGGGCAGCCCATTCCAAGGGCTGAGAACCCTTTCCGTGAAAAAATTTTTCCTAATATCCAGCCTGAACCTCCCCTGGTGTAACTTGAGGCCATTTCCTCTCGTCCTGTCGCCTGTGACTTGGGAGAAGAGACCGACCCCCACCTCTCTACACCCTCCTTTCAGGGAGTTGGAGAGAGCAAGAAGGTCTCCCCTCAGCCTCCTCTTCTCCAGGCTGAACACCCCCAGCTCCCTCAGCCTCTCCTCACAAGACTTCTTCTCCAGACCCCTCACCATCACAAAGGACAGACGGACACCGAAGCGTAACCAGTACCATGTTTTTGGTTTCACAGATGATGTCAGGGTCGCTGCAGCGAACAAACATCTCGGGCTCCCCCCCCGGCATCCCCACCGGTGCACCTGTGGAGGAGAGACACCAAGATCAAACCCCATCCAGCATCTTCTCTGTTTGTGCTTCCTACCCCGCACCCCATGCAGCCAGACCCCAATGCTGGGCTACCAGTGAGCCACACGGGACCACTGGTGGAGGGAATTAGGCATAAAATTAATGCAGGGGGTCAGATGAAGAGCAAACGGGGAGCCCCAGGCTGCGAGAGGGTGAGGAGGCAGAGATGTGCTCTCTGGATGCTCCTGCACCTCCAGGAAGCCCCCTATGAACCAAGGAAGTACCACGGGCTCACCGGGGAGGGTGTGCCAGGGGGGCAGCCGGATGGTCTTCTTCAGAAAGGTGAGCTCTGGGTGGTAGAAGCGGAAGGTTTGATCCACCACGTGGGGCTGCGGCTCCACCTTCACCCTCAGGAGAGCGATGGGCTTCCCCCCGCTCACCTGGAAGGAGACCTGTCCCGGGGAGATGGCAGGAGAGGGATGGAGTTTTGCAGGAGTGATGTTTCTCCTCCCATGTAGCCCCTCAAGAGGTGTCTTCACCCCAGTCCCTCACCTGGATGTGCTTTGTTCGCCCGGCCCCGCTCTTCCCCAAGGAGCTGACAACCGTGTCGGCACCGGAGCCCAGCCCAGTTGGGCCCTGCATGGAGCAAGAGTAGGTTGTCTTGGGATGCAGCACGGCTACGGGCTACAACTGCCCTCCCCATGGCCATACCACCCTGCCCTACGTAGGCAAAGAGCTGAGGGAAACATGGGAACAGCTCAAAATGGGGGCCTGGACATACCTGAGCCGCGACAACAGCGGGGTCCGCAGAGAAGGTCTGGTATTTGAAGGGGATGCGGATGGTCTCGTTGGGTCGCAGGTAGACCTGAGGCTTGAGGTCATCGCGGAGGTGGAACATCTCCTCCTCCACCGGTGTAACGCTCTTGGTCAGCTCCTTGAAGTGACGCCACTCCCTCGGGTCCAGTATGACGCTGAGGGAGCAAGTGGTAGAGGTGTTGGTGAGGACTGGTTGGAAACTGGTACCACCCCACCGTCACAGAATCATTCTGGTTGGAAGGGACCTTAAAAGCCCCCGCAGTCCCCTCCCTGCCCTGGGCAGGGACACCTCCCACCACACCAGGTTGCTCCAAGCCCCATCCAACTTGGCCTTGAACCCCTCCAGGGATGGGGCAGCCACAGCTTCTCTGGGCAACCTGAGCCAGGGTCCCACCACCCTCACACCAAAGAAGTTCTTCCCAATATCTACCACCTAAATTCGCCCTCTTTCTGTTTAAAACCATTACCCCTCATCCTGTCACTCCCCTCCCTGATCAAGAGTCCCTCCTTATCTCTCCTGTATGCACACAAGGGAGACCCCACCTGAGCTCGGGGTGGTCCACCTCGATGGTCACAGTGTGCTGGATGCCGTAGGGGTTCTTCAGGGTGAACTCAAAGAACTCAGCAGTGCCCAGCACGGCGTGGACGGTGCGGGTGACGGTGATGGCCTGGCTGAGCATCCGGGAGATGCTCTCACCCTTGACGTGCTGCCGGTAGGCATCGATGATCTGCAGGTCCTGCACGTGCCGGGCACGCTGCTCCTGCCAGCCCTGCCAGGAAGGAAGGAGGGAGGGGACCATAAACCAGAGTCACCACGGTGTCCCCAGCCCCCTGCACCCCTCTCCTCACCGAGACCTGGGGTGTCCTCCCACCGCTGGCATCCTCCTGCTGCCGCACCAGCGCCATGCGCCGCAGCTTGCGCCGTCGGGCGGCCGTGGCCTCGCTGGGGATGGCCGGGGGGACCAGCCTGGCCTCTGCCCGGCGGCCACACAGCGCGGCTGCCAGCTCGCCATCCACCTCAGCCAGCCTCCGGGCCCGTGACACCTTCCTGCCTGCAGGGACAGCACGGTGGCATCAGGAGGGCACCCCCATTGCCATGGCCACCACGATGCTGTGGGGTTGGGAAGGGGCAACCACCCCACAGCCCGGGGTACGGCACCGGCACCACGGTGGAAGAGATTGGGACAGAAGACAGGCATTTGGAGAGGCTGAGCCTCAGCCCAGAGGACTCACCACCAGCAGCACTGATGGAGAACCGGCTGCCGGGGCCATCCGGCACGGGGACAAGGCGGGAGCGGGACGGCAGTGGGGACGGCGGCTGCACCGGGGTCTCCTCACACAGGTGACCTGCCAGGGTCAGAGACAGGGTAGCAGAAACACTTTTTTCATCATTATAAAAATCTACTGCAAGTTTTTATCTCCACTGCAGCTCTTCACAGACAATTTAAAAGAGTAAAGGGGACATAAAGGGTTCCACTTGAATATGAGGAAGAACTTTTTCATGGTGAGGGTGGCAGAGCCCTGGAACAGGCTGCCCAGGGAGGGTGTGGAGTCCCCTTCTCTGGAGATCTTCAAGCCCCACCTGGATGCTCCTGAGTAACATGCTCTGACAAGCTCTGGGCAATCCTGCTTCAGCAGGGGGGTTGGACTGGATGATCTCTATGGTCCCTTCCAACTCTAAAAATTCAGTGAAATATCTGGTTGGTACCGAGCCCTGCAGCGCTCCTGCCAGAGCCCCTTGCAGTAGAGCCATCCACCCGGAGACAGAGCAGCACCAAAAGCACAGCACCATCCCAACCCATTCCCCACCCAGCCCCTAACCAGCTCCAGTTTTCATTTCACTTCATTTCCCCGGGGCTGCGGTGCTGCCACCGGGTCTCTCTACAACTACTTGAAAAGACACCGTAGAGGGCTGTGGTGCTGCCACCGGGTCTTTCTACAACTACGTGAAAGGACACTGTAGAGAGGTTGGTGCTGGTCTCTTCTCACAGGTAATTAGTGACAGAACAAGAGGTCATGGCTTCAAGCTCCAACAGGGGAGGTTTAGACTGAACATTAGGAAGGAATTTTTCACAGAAAGAGTGGTCGGGCATTGGAACAGGCTGCCCAGGGAGGAGGGGGTTGAGTCACCATTCCTGGATGGGTTTAAGGGACGTTTTCATGGGGTACTGAGGGACATGGTGTAGGGGAGGACTTTGTAGAGTAGGGTAGATGGTTGGACTTGATCCCAAGGGTCTCTTCCAACCTGAACAATTCTATGATTCCCTGCTCCCACACAGCCATGCCCAGAGCACCCAATGAGGTCATAAACCCACCGCCACCTCCTCAGCCTAGAAATCCCATCCCCATCCCTCGGGCAGGGGCACCAAGCTTTTCAATACTGCTTGTAACCACAGTATTTTGAAATTTCGAAAAGAAAAAAGAAAAAAAAAAAAAAGAGGATGGGGGGAAAGAAGACAACAAAAGGGTGAGTGTTGTCCTGGTGCAGCGTCCCCGCTTCCCCTCTCTCCCCTTTCACAGGGCGTGAGCTAAACCTCTCCTGGGGTTGTGAGTCTCCAACTCTCCTTCCCAGCAGCTTATCGTCCCTTTGCAGGCAGAGTACGGAAGCGATGATTTAAGATATCTTATAATGGAGCTAATCTTTCTTCTGAAGATAAGATTTTAAAACCTGGAGTCACCGCACATTGGTAGGACGGGAAATTAAATATATAAAATAGAAGCATCCAGCAGGTTCTGGGGAGAATACTGCTCTCACATAGAATCATAGAATCATCTAGGTTGGAAGGGGCCTTCAAGATCATCTAGTCCAACCATCAACCTAAGTCTGACAAAAACCACCACTAAACCATGCTCCCCAGCACCATGTCAACCCGTCTTCTGAACATCTCCAGGGATGGTGCCTCAACCACTGCCCTGGACAGCCCATTCCAATGCTGGATAACCTTTTCAATGTAAAAACATGCAGGGGTTTTCTTTCGGGTACAGCCCCGGGCTGTTCCCTGGCACCAAACCCCATGGCACCGGCCCCACGAGCAGCAGCTCTTACCAACGTTGGCCAAGCAGAGGTGGAGACGGCCCTTCACGGCCACGTGGACACCAAGGGGCCGCAGGGCGCCGTGCCGCAGAGCCTCCCGGCCCATCACCGTCACCTCCGGCTCATACTCCGTGGTGGCCACCTCCAGCTCATGGTGGGTCCTGATGGCTGCCCGGCCCTGGCGCAGCAGGGACTGGGGACAAGGCAAAGGGTAATGAGTTACCAAGGAGTCTGGTCTGGGGGGGGTTAAGGGATCTAGGAAAGGATCTCTCTGGATGTCCCATGTCTGGGGGGGTTTAGCCCTAGAATACTGCAGGAGTTCTGGAAGGAAGTTAACATTTTGCCATTACTTTTGAGGAGAAGATGACAAATCCCACAATTAGGGGCTTCAATGAATTTCACTGAATTTTTAGAGTTGGAAGGGACCATAGAGATCACCTACTCCAACTCCCCTGCTGAAGCAGGATTGCCCAGAGCTTGTCAGAGCATGTTACTCAGGAGCATCCAGGTGGGGCTTGAAGATCTCCAGAGAAGCTTCCTCAGATTCAAGTGGAACCCTTTATGTTCCAACTTGTGCCCGTTGCCCCTCGTCCTCTCACTGGGAACCACTGGAAAGAGTCTGGCTCCCTCCTCCTTCAACCCTCCCTTGAGATACTTGTCAGCATTGATAAGGTCTCCCCTCAGCCTTCTCTTCTCCAGACTAAAGAGTCCCAGCTCTTTCAGCCTCTCCTCATAAGGGAGATGCTCCAGTCCTTGAATCAGGCTGAGATAGGTCTCGGCTGCACAGAGGGGCTGACAGCAACTCCATTGCTAAAGACACAAGGGCAAGGCACCAGCATCCCCACACAGGACCAGGAGGGACAGTCGGGCTCCTCCTGACACCCCTGCACGCTAAGCTGGGGGTCCCCATCCTTACCAGTCCCCAGGGGTTAAGGGGAAAGACCTTCGATTTAACCCATACCTCCAGTTTGAGGGCAGCAGACCCAACGAGGAGCAGGGAGTCCCCGTCCCAGACGTCGATCTGGAGGCTGTGCTCAGCCAGGTACCGCACAAACCAGCGCTGCTCCCCGGCCCGCAGGAAACCAGGATCCACCAGGTACCTCAGCTGCAAGCCCGGGGGTCCTGCGAGACACGCAGCATCCTCATGAAAACAGAGCTTCTGCTGGCACCGGGACAGGGACACTTCTGCTCTGGAGAAACCCGCCTGCTCGGAGGCTCCTCCTCCCCTTAATGAACCCATCCGTGAATTAGTAAAGTCGAGGTCCCCCAGAACTGGCAGCCTCCCTCAGAAACACTGGGTCTGTACAGATCCCCCCCTCTCATTTCCATTAACAGCTCCACATGGAGAAGGAGCTTCCTCAAGCACAAGTGCTTGGTGCCCCTTGGGACCAGAATTTAATAAGGCACAGAAAGAACCAGCGAAAAGCACCCAACAAGGAGGGTCAGAGCCCCTCACCCCCGGGGCTGTGCTCCCTCTTGTTGCCTTTCTCTTCAAAGGCACTTTTAGCTGCAGCAGGAGCCTTGACATGCAAATCGTGACACCAACCGGGTGTTTTACCGGTGTTTTACTTCAAATGTAGGACATTTGAAGTCCTACATGTAGGAAGTCCTAAATGTAGGAAGACAAAAGATTCAGATTAGATCTCAGGAAGAAATTTTTTACTCTGAGGGGGGTGAGACCCTGGAACAGGTTGCCCAGGGAAGTTGTGGATGCCCCATCCCTGGAGGGGTTCAAGGCCAGGCTGGATGGAGCTTTGAGCAACCTGCTCTAGTGGGAGGTGTCCCTGCCCATGGCAGGGGGGTTAGAACTCGATGATCTTTGAGGTCCCTTCCAACCCAAACCATTCTATGATTCTATGATTTTGAATGTTCCTCACATTATGCCACGCAAACTAGAGGAGGTTTGCCATTAAAGCAGACACCGGCCCATTCCTCAGCCCAGAGACAAGCCCAAATCTGACGGATGGAAGAGGAACAGCCACACAAGGATGCCAAAAACCAGAGCTTACCGGTACTGAGGGTCCCATCCTTGTTCACCCGGACAAGGAGCTGTGCTGGCACAGCCCCCCCGGCTGCAGGGCCCCCATCTGTGCTGACCAGCTGCAGCCGTGGTGTGGTGACTGGTGGGAATCTGTAGAACTGGAAGGTGAGGAAGATGGTCCTCGGCCACGTCCCCTCTGTGCCATCCCGGGCATCCCTTGAAGGACAGAGAGAGAGAGAGGTTAGGGTTGGCTCATGGCATGGTGCTGCCTCCCCATCACGAGCTCCTCGTGCGCTTGGCACGCACCGAGAGGCAGAAGAACAAGAGAAGATCAGCAGCATCACAAGTATTTGGACTTTTCTGAAGACAGCAGGCATATGGTTTGCCTTGGCTTTCCAAAAAACTTTGTAATTCCAGCTGTCCCTCACCATATGCTGCAACGGAGGAGCCCAGCAAAGGCAACGTTCTACCTTCGCACGCTGCCATCCATGGGGGAAAAAAACACAAGTAGGGGCCTCATTCAGCCAAAGCCACCCCCACGGGTGCCAACTTTCTCAACTCCATATGCATTTATGGAGAAACCCTGCATTAACCAGCTTTGACATCCCATCGTGGTTAATGGAGACAACAACAACAAAAAAAAAAGGAATATGATTTAAGGGTGCCCAGAAAGGACTAGAGCATGGTTGTAAAACCCTCTGGGGCTCTGCCTCTACAATAGGAACTGGAATTTCACTGAATTTCACTGAATTTTAGAGTTGGAAGGGACCATAGAGATCATCCAGTCCAACTCTCCTGCTGAAGCAGGATTGCCCAGAGCTTGTCAGAGCATGTTACTCAGGAGCATCCAGGTGGGGCTTGAAGATCTCCAGAGAAGGGGACTCCACACCCTCCCTGGGCAGCCTGTTCCAGGGCTCTGCCACCCTCACCCCAAAGAAGTTTCTCCTCATATTTGAGTGGAACCTCTTATGTTCCAACTTGTGCCCATTGCCCCTCGTCCTCTCACTGGGAACGACTGAAAAGAGTCTGGCTCCCTCCTCCTTCAACCCACCCTTGAGATACTTGTCAGCATTGATAAGGTCTCCCCTCAGCCTTCTCTTCTCCAGACTAAAAAGTGTCCCAGCTCTCTCAGTCTCTCCTCATCAGGGAGATGCTCCAATCCTTGAATCATCTTTGTTGCCCTTCGCTGGACTCTTTCTAGGAAGAAGCACCTTTGCCAGGACTTCTCCTGCTCAAGCAGAGAAGTGGGTTGGGAGGGGAGATTTCGGGGAAGGACCATCCCTGAGGAGACTACCAGGATCTGCCTGCAGAAGGCACCACGAAGAGCTGCCACCTCACCTGCCAAAAGCCAGGAACTGCAGGATGATCTCGTTGCCTTGCAGAGGGTCGGCCTCCTCCAGCTGCAGGCTGAAGGCAGCCGGGTCCATCGGCTCCGAGATTCCCACCGGCTCCTGGTTGTGGTCCAGGATCTCCGGGAAGCCGGCGGCGTGCAGGCGTGCCAGGGAGGCACGGGACAGCTGCGTGTGGGATCTGATGGAGAAAAGGGGGTGAGCCCTGCAGAAGAGGCCGTGGTGGAACCCCATGGGGCTGAGCAATGGGGATGGGGGAGCCCACGGAAGGGCAGCTGAGCATCACCTGCCTGCCTGCAGCCCCACGGCGGCGATGGGCACCTGCAGGGGGGCGAAGGGCAGTGCCCGCAGCTGGTCATCGGCACAGGGCTCCGTGTCTGGTGAGTCCAGGGTGGCCTCCAGATGAGTGATCCCCCCATCCTGCCAAGGGCTGTGGCCACGCAGCACCGGGGACTGGCCCCTGCCCCGCGGAGGGACCGACAGCTGGGACACCGATAGCTGGGGGAGAGAGGAGAGTGTGAGCCCCCACATCACCCCCCCAGAAAAACCCCCCTCTGCCTCCTATTTCACTGCTGCGCTCTCCCTGGCAAAGGGAAGGATGAAGAAAATGCAGCAGGAAGATCCAAACTGCTTAACGCGGTCTTATGGAGCATTTTATTTCATCAAAAATATTTGCGCGCATTGATCCCTGCATCAAGACATAAAAAAAAAAAAAAGCATAAAGAGGGATCTCTGTATTCATAGCTCTCCTTAAATCCCAGTAGCTCCGCGTGAAGAAGCCATGCATCACTGTCAGCACGTAGCGGGGACAATGGTACCCAGCAAATCTGGGCTGTCAAAAACCAGAACTGCCCTTAACAAATACATTTGGGGTGTTAAAATTGCTCAGGGAATCTTGCCCAGCACTTTATAAGCAGGATCCATGTTGCTGCCCCAGAGGAGGTGGATTCGAGGATGCTCAGAGCCTCTCGGCTACAGCTGCTGGAAAAAACCAGCAGAGGAGGGGACCAGGATCCATCCCCCGGGAATGCCACTGCCCACCCACCCCCCACACCCCCAGCACTTACCCCTGGTCTAGTTGGGGGTGTCCCTGCTGACTGCAGGGGGGGTCGGACTAGATGGCCTTTGGAGGTCCCTTCTGGCCTGGGCAATTCTATGATTCTATGATTATAAGCAGGATCCATGTTGCTGCCCTGGAGGAGGTGGATCTGAGGATGCTCAGAGCCTCTCGGCTGCAGCTGCCGGAAAAAAACCAGCAGAGGAGGGGACCAGGATCCATCCCCCGGGAATGCCACTGCCCACCCACCCCCCACACCCCCAGCACTTACCCCTGGTCCCCGCGGGGACGCTGCCACCCGTGGCTGGGCCGATGGACCTGTGGAGAGGGACAGAAGAGATGTTCTACCAGAGCCACCAACCCCCCTCCAACCTCTCACCTTCTGGGGGTAGGAACCAGCTTATCAAGGTGCCTCCCCATCTCTCAACCACTTATTTAGCTTATTTTCCCAGTAAGACTGTTGCCTGGGAGCAGGATGGGGGGGAAGAAGTGTAGCACATCTCCAGATGCATCCATTATTTTCCTGGGAATCAGGCTAACTCTGCCATAAAAGGCAGCCCCTCCATCCCCGTGGTTCCCCCGCGGCCACGCAGCGCTGCTTAAGTGGGATGCTTAATGAGACGTGAAAGTTTTAGGATACTTAAGGTTTTCGTCGCTCCTCCGTTATTTCTTGTCACTCCCTTCATCTCTCCATGTGCTCGTGCCCCGAAACCCTACGAGCTTGATGGTGTTTATATTTGGCTGGCTCGGCTCGCGCGCCGGCACAGCTGAGCTCGCTGAGCCCCGGGTCCTTCAGAGCAGACCAGGGGCACAGATGTTCCATCTCTGCATCCACGTGATGCTGAGACCTTATTTTGCTTTCCCCACCACGTAGATTCCAGCTATTTCGCGCCGACTGCCGTGCAAAGCAAACCACCCTGGCTCCTTTATGTCTAAAAACACTGTTTTCTCTCAGTGAGGATGGTTTTGGTCGGTGCTAAGGAGAATCACAGAATCTTCTAGGTTGGAAGGGACCTTAAAGATCATCTTGTCCAACCGTCAACCTAACTGACAAAAATAGACACCCACACAACAAACAAGGAGCATCATCACTAAACCCTATCTCCCAGCACTACATCAACCCGTCTTTTGAACACCTCCAGGGATGGGGCCTCAACCACCTCCCTGGGCAGCCCATTCCAATGGCTGAGAACCCTTTCCGTGAAAAAATTTTTCCCAATATCCAGCCTGAACCTCCCCTGGTGTAACTTGAGGCCATTTCCTCTTGTCCTGTCACCTGTGACTTGAGAGAAGAGACCGACCCCCACCTCTCTACACCCTCCTTTCAGGGAGTTGGAGAGAGCAGCCTCCTCTTCTCCAGGCTGAATAACCCCAGCTCCCTCAGTCTCTCCTCATAAGACTTATTCTCCAGACCCCTCACAAGATGGACAAGACCCCTCAGAAGATGGACAGATCCATCGGCACCACCATTAGCTGAGCCGACAAAAGATGCCTGGCCTCCCAAAGGCCCAGACGGTGGCATGTTTTCCAAGAGAGCTCTACAAAAACGTTAACCAAACACTCCTCTCAGCAGCTCGGGGTGTGGGCTGGCTCTGGTGTGTGGTTGCTCAGCTCCCAGCACAGCTCCAGGACCACTGTGACACTTCCCCAGCTCCCCCCAGTGCTGCCAGACCCACGTCACACAGCTCATGCCCCAAAATGACCTTGCTGGGGGTATCTCCCCATGCCAGGCACCCCAGGATGCTCTGCCCAAGCCAGAGCTCATCAGCCCAGCACCGGGCTGAAGGCTCACCATCAGCACACGCTCCCTTCTCCCTTCACCCCTCGATGCCCCAACCACCAACAGCTGAAGAGCATCCAGGAAAACCTCTCGGGCAGCTCCAGGAAGGTTCCAGCAGCGATGCTGAGCAGAACCTCACCCAGCACAGCCAGACCCCAAACATCTCTGCTCAGAAGCCCCGCAAACCCAGCTCCTCCCCGGCAGAGCATAGGGACTTGCTGCAGCAAAGCCATGGTGCCACTGCCATCTCGTGGAAGGCACAGCAGCACTGGAGCTGGTGGGGGAACGAGTGTCCACGGCACCCAGCATCACCCCGACCCACGGGCTGGCAGCTCCTGGCTCACCAGAGCAGCTGAGTGGGCTCATAAAATCTATTTAAATACTTTCAGGTACCTGGAGCATCACAGTGAGACCAGCATGGGAACTGGAGTGATGCTGCAGAGGAAAGGGGAGCTTGGTCCCCACTGATCATGAAGGAAGGACCAGATAAACAAGACAGAGAGACCTTAGAGTCCCTAAAGGGGCTCCAGGAAAGCTGGGGAGGGACTCTGGATCAGGGAGGGGAGCCCTAGGATGAGGGGGAAGGGTTTGACACTGAAAGAGAGGGAATTTGGGTGTTAGATATTAGGAAGAACTTCGTTCCTGTGAGGGTGGTGAGAGCCTGGCCCAGGTTGCCCAGAGAAGCTGTGGCTGCCCCATCCCTGGAGGGGTTCAAGGCCAGGTTGGAGGGGGCTTGGAGCAACCTGGTGTGGTGGGAGGTGTCCCTGCCCAGGGCAGGGGGTGGCACTGAGGGGGGGGGGGTTAGAGTCCCTTCCAACTGACAGGAACTGGCAGGACACCCCACTGTGCTGGGTATCGAGAATGGGAGCCCAAAAGTCATCAGAATGACCCAAAAATGGGATCGGGCTGGTGTCATGCTGGAAATCCCCAGGGATCCTGCATGTGGCTGAGCTCTACTATCACAGGGGAATTTTGCACGTTAAGAAGCGAGAGCTGAATTCAACTCGAGGGAAACTTGCTTCACTCTGGTAATTCATAAAGCAGCTCACGGAAACTCAGCGAAACCGTGGTTTTTTTTCCTCCTGAGCAGACACCAGTGCCACACTCTGTATTTTAAATGTCAGCGATCTGGAAAACACTCACTCAGCGACGGCGTAGGAGGCTGCTCCGACTCGTCCCTGCCGCTACGTAGGATCTCTGCAGCAGTTACAAGATGTTCTTCCGAATCAGTAGAAACATGGAATTGGACAGTCCCAGACTCCACGTGCTTCCCCTGAAATTGGGAAAAAAAAAAATAAAATCCTTTTAGACAGCGTGCTCCACGCAGCCTCCCTCGGAGCTCTGAGGGACGATTCCCTTGCTCTGCAGATGGAGAAACACCAGTGCAAGCCAGAGACAGAGATAACAAAGGGCTGTACTTTAATTTCTGACCAAATATCTCTGTCCTTGCTGAGACACAGACCTGCCACCTCCACCCACTGCCACCCAGATGAAGATTTCTCTGGGCAAGTTCTGCAGACAGCCACCCACCCCTGCCAGCAGCAAAGAGAAATCCATCCAGCTTCACATCTCAGCCAGATTTTGGCCAACCCCTTGGGACTCCTTCACCCCAGCCCCAATCTCCTTTTGCTGATAGACCTGGGAGCGAGGTCTGTATCTCGTGCCTGCACATCTCTCTGAATAAACCAGCTCAGGGCCCCTCTTGGGACTCCTTCGCCCCAGCCCTAATCTCCTTTTGCTGATAAACCTGGGAGTGAGGTCTGTATCTTGTGCCTGCACATCTCTCTGAATAAACCAGCTCAGGGCACGGTGGCCTCCCAGAAATATGGCAATAACTAAGACTGACCAGCTCCACGGTAGCTGGGTCTACACATTTGCTGACAAGTATCTCAAGGGTGGGTTGAAGGAGGAGGGAGCCAGACTCTTTTCAGTGGTTCCCAGTGAGAGGACAAGGGGCAACGGGCACAAGTTGGAACAGAAGAGGTTCCACTCAAATATGAGGAGAAACTTCTTCACAGTGAGGGTGGCAGAGCCCTGGAACAGGCTGCCCAGGGAGGGTGTGGAGTCCCCTTCTCTGGAGATCTTCAAGCCCCACCTGGATGCTCCTGAGTAACATGCTCTGACAAGCTCTGGGCAATCCTGCTTCAGCAGGGGGGTTGGACTGGATGATCTCTAGGGTCCCTTCCAACTCTAAAAACAATTCAGTGAAATTTGCAGAGGTCAAGCAGCACCAGACACCACCAGCAACATCTACCACCACAGGTACTCGCTGGCAGGGGGGCTGTCACCTAGGTCGAGCAGCACTGGACACCACCAGCAACACCTACCAGTGCAGGTACTCGCTGGCAGGGGGGCTGTCACCCTCTTCTTCATTCACTCATGGATCCACAGAGCTTCCCTGTGCACTTTGTTTTGGCAAAAAGCCCCTCTAACGACAGCCCCATCCAAGCACCAGCATCATCCCCGTGCACTTGCAGCTCGGTCCTTACCTGGCGGGAGCTCCTGCTGCCCGGGGGGGTCCTGTAGACCAGGGCTTGGCAGGGGCTTCGGCGGGGACCACCACGGAGGGGCAGGACCACCTCGGCCTCACCGCTGCCCGGGACGGGGCTCCAGAGGGCCCAGCGCACCGACCGCATGTCGGCCGCCTCGCCGCGGGCACCGCCGGGCAGGGCCTGGGGAGGGGGGACATAAAGGGAGGGACACAGTCAGTGCCGGGCACCCCCACCTCACCACCAGTGAGCCAGACAGATCCAGGCACTCCCCTCCGCTTTCAACCCATTGACATTCCATTTTCCAGCACTTTATTTCTCTTTTTGTGCCCATTTTTTCACCCCTCACCGACCACACCCACAGCTCCCATCCCTTTGCAGGCTCTGAGGAGCACGAGGAACACTGATGGAAAGGGACACATTGGGCACATGGAGGGGACCCAGGATCATGAGACCTCCCAGTGAAAGAGCATTCAGACACACTGCACAGTTCCCAGGTTTGCTTCTCCCTCCCAACAGCATCGCAGGGAGAATGGGCACCTTCCTATGGGATTCCCCTCCCCATGGCTGACCTTGAGCTATACATGGGTATGAAACCCAATTTTGCCCTCTAAACCCCACACCACCCGTCCCACATGGGTACTCTTGGGGTTTTCTTACACATACCCCCTTTACCCAGCCCCTCACTAACACCATTCCCACACGTACCCCATTTACCCAGCCCATCCCTGACATTCTCCCCACTCCCTGGAGGCAGCTCATCAGCCTCCAGGTGACCGTTCCTCATCCCTTCTCCACGTTACACAAGGGATGACACCTCTAGCTTATCCACCAGCATAACACAATGCTGATATAACATCTAAGCGCAATATAATGCTTTTAAAAAAATAACAGGGCTTTCATCCCTTTTATTTTAGTGCGTGTAGGCTGAGGCACCCAGGGGGCTGTCACCCCCCACTCAAGCAGCTGCATTAAGGGATATATATGTCTTACCCTCCACCCCTGGCAGCATTAAAGCTTCCACTTACCCAAACACGTCCACAGCCTCTCCCTAAACCGAAGGAGAGGTGAAGAAACAAACCCAGAGGGCTCTACCAGCGCCCGCAATCACCCTCACAGCCTGCTAATTATGGCACAGAGGATGGGGGTGATAAGCTCCAAGCAGCTTTGGGATTAACTGCTCTGCCCAAGGGCTGCGCCACAGGGAACTGGGAGTGATCCCAGCACAGCCAGACACAGATCTGGGTCTGGAGTCCCAAATCTCTGCCAATCCTCGGGTTTCAGCTTTTTTGAGGGAGTTGAACCAACACCTCATTTCCAGCAGCAACACAAATCCCCCTTTGCCTAGAACACGTGTCACAACTTATATAAATACCCATTTTTCCCCCCAGTTTTGCTCCTGACAGCTCTAAGGAGAGAGCACACCGGCTGCATGTTCAATGAGCACCTCAAGCAGGACCATTAGGGACACCTAATGAACCCATCAGCATCGATTCAGCCGCTAAAGGGCTAAGGGCTGGGCTGGAAAGGATCTCAGGAGGGTTGGGAACTGCTCGTTAAGCTGGGTTTAACCCACAGAAAGGTTAAAGTGAAATACATGGAAATGGCTGATAAGTAGGTGTTAGCGAGCGTGGTCCCCCAGTCCTTGCAGAGGCTCTAAGGTCCAGAGAACATCAGGCTGAAGCTCCCAGAAAAACCTCAGCTTTTAGAAACAAATAAAAAAAAAAAGGACTTTATTTTCAGCATAAATGCTAAATTCTTGGAATTAAAAACAGCTGAAATTTTCCAAGGTAGCTTGCCAGAGCACTACGGGACTGCTGCAGGCTGCATTCCTCCATATACATGAACACGATGGGGAAATGTAGCCACGTGTAATTAAAATGATTCAAGAAGCCCATTTGCAGGATATTTTGCTGCAGAAAGCACCTGGACACTTTATGGGGCCATTCGTCAGGCAGCGCGGCCACGGGATGAGGAGGAACTGCCACGTTTTGGGGGCAAAATGACGGTGAAATGGGGAGAGAAATGGGAATTACAGAGCAGGGCATCCCTCCAGAGCATTCCCAGATTATCCCTACCTTCCGAGTGGCTCTCCCCACGCTGCAGAAGACATATTCCAGCTGGAAGCAGACCCCAAACGCCGGGTGAGGGACCATTTCACTCAGGTGGATGCGGCTCCTCAGGACCAGGGCTTGACCCTCATCCCTGTGCCGGGATGGAGAAGGGGCTGTGGCAGCACCCAAAGAAGCAGAGGGTCCGTGGCATCAAGGGGATGGGGGGATCTCCCCCTTACCTGGCTCCGGAGCTGGGCACCCCTGGGCAACCACCCGGTGCCACCTCCATCTCTGGCACCAGCACGGCCACCTGGGGTGTCGTGACGAAGCGCAGACCGTTGTGGACACCAACGTGCAGCCGCCGCTCCCGAACCACCACCTCGTCTCCATCCGGGGTGGCATTGGCCTGCAACAGGCAAGTCCTCCAGCGTGGGCATCACAGGTGGCACCACAGCCCTCCCCACACCCGGGAAAATTCACAGAATCCATCAGAAACTCAAAAAACAGGACCCCCCCCCCCCCCAGCAGCTGATGGGTATTAAAATCTTTTGTCTTTGGGGCAGAGTTGGCACAAATCTGGCAAATAAAGGAGGTGGCCAGAGGTCCTTACTGCACACCCAGCTCGGTTGCTCCTAAAGACACGTACTCAATATGTGCCACATCTTATCTTGGCATTTTCCAGGGCAGGACAAAGCCAAATTGGGCTTATTAGTGGCTGGATGTTCAAAACAAAGCTGACACAGAGCACCTGTGTGCTAGCCCGGCAGTAAAGCAGGTGAAAGGCTTGCACAGCAAAAAAAAATAATAAAAATCAGAGATTCCAAGCAAAATAAAATACATGAGTGCCAAGGAGCTGAATATTTCCACTCTGCCCGAAGCAACACCAATTCTGATGGTGCCCCTTGCTCTCCCCTGTGCCAGCGGTACCTGCAGCAAGCGATCGCTGTTCAGCAAGTCCAACAGTTCCTCCTCAAATTCCTCCAGGGATGGGTACAGCTGGACAGACAGGTTCTCCAGGTAGCAGGTGATGGGCTTCATCAGCCGGGGCTTCTGCAAGCAGTCACCTGAGAAGACACATGTGCCAGCGGTACCTGCAGCAAGCGATCGCTGTTCAGCAAGTCCAACAGTTCCTCCTCAAATTCCTCCAGGGATGGGTACAGCTGGACAGACAGGTTCTCCAGGTAGCAGGTGATGGGCTTCATCAGCCGGGGCTCTTCCACTCTGCCCGAAGCACCAGGAATTCTGATGGTGCCCCTTGCTCTCCCCTGAGCTGGCAGTACCTGCAGCAAGCGATCACTGTTCAGCAAGTCCAGCAGTTCCTCCTCAAACTCCTCCAGGGACGGGTACAGCTGGACAGACAGGTTCTCCAGGTAGCAGGTGATGGGCTTCATCAGCCGGGGCTTCTGCAAGCAGTCACCTGAGAAGACACGGTGGTGGCCACAAGTGATGCTGTGGCCAAGGTGGGGACGTTGCTGGGAACACAAGGGCACCCACAGCAGGTCCCAAGGTAAAAGCAGCACTGGGGAGTGGTTGTGGTTGTGTGTGGGACCCCCAGCTTCCCCACACACCCAGGAGAAACACAGAAACACCCAACACCTTTGGCGCCAATGGATGCAATTATTATTTAACAAAGCCACGGCCAGCATCGTCCCGAGGTGCCCTGCAGAGCAAGGTGCTGCCTCCCCCCTCTCCGGTGGTCCCAGCGGCACCTCGGATGCTTTGGGGACCTCACTCAGCTGTCCCAGTACCAGCAGCACTGGGGAGTGGTTGTGGTTGTGTGTGGGACCCCCAGCTTCCCCACACACCCAGGAGAAACACAGAAACACCCAACACCTTTGGCGCCAATGGATGCAATTATTATTTAACAAAGCCACGGCCAGCATCGTCCCGAGGTGCCCTGCAGAGCAAGGTGCTGCCTCCCCCCTCTCCGGTGGTCCCAGCGGCACCTCGGATGCTTTGGGGACCTCACTCAGCTGTCCCAGTACCAGTTCCAACCCCCAGGACGGTGACCAGTAGGGTTTTCTGGGCAGAAAGCTGAAGATTAATTCAGCTGCAGAACTGAGAGCCCTTTTTACCCTCCAAATCTTCAGATAACACAATATTAATCGCAGCAGCTCGAAGGGCAGGGCTGCCACCCATGGGGAAAGATTAACGAGGGCTGAGCGCCCCCAAAACCTGCCAGACCCCCAGCCCCACCACGGAGGGGAACGGCTTTAAACAAGCTCCAAGGGCTGCTCCTCAGCCTCCCACTGAACCACTGTAATTAAACCAACCTTCACTCATCCCCAGCAGCTTCCCAGGAGCAAAGCAATTAACGGAAGGAGAACAGACCAAAGCCATTTTGACATCTTCCAGGCTGAGCCATGAACGAAGGGGCTGCAGCCCCAAAGGTCTGGGCAGGGGGGGATGCTCACACCAAGGGGCAGCACTGCAGAGACCCCAGGGAAGGGGAAAGGAGGACCCTTACTGGTGTCTCCATGCGCAGGCAGCAACCCAGGGATAGTCTGCAGCCCCGACGTCAGGAGGTTTTCAGGAAGGAGGTGAAATATGGTCTCCAGGGGCCGATGGGTCTTCAGGGTGTACTGCAGGTGGCTCTTCTCCACCACCGTCAGGTATTTGTTCTCTGAAGAAGAGAAAACACCCCGAAATGACCAAATTGAGAAGGAGACAGCTTCACAACACCACTCTTGAAGAAATCCCAGGAATGCAGGCGTTGGGAGCAAAGCAAAGCTGGGTTTGCCCAGCCAGGCTTTTCCTGGCTGGCAGTACAGCACGTCCTCTTTGCACTGCCAGGGCAGGGACCATGTATCCCATCCACACACGACGCTCATTTGGACAAGAGACACCCCCAAGAAAGGAGGGATACTCAATGCTTTGCTTACTTTCCATAGGGTCCTGGAAGCGGGGGTGCAGCAAGGCACGTGGTGTCCCATGGTACAGCTTCAGCCTGAAGGCAAGGAGCACAGGGACAGCAGTCAGTAAATCCACCCTCAAGCACATCTTCACCTTCCACAACACCTCTGCTCAATGGTAAGAGACCACCTTCCACCCTGCACCCACGGTAAAAGCCCTGTCCTTCAGGGAATGGGCAGGCATCACTTTTACCAACCCAGCAGTGAAGAATTCCAGATTTTTTTAAACACTAGTTTTGTTTCTGCAGCCCCAGGACCCCACCTTCTCCCTCCAGAGCAGCCATGCAGGTTGCCACCCCAATTCCTGGTGTGCCCCATCCCACAGCAGAAGGTGGGACCTACACTCGGTCCTGGGTGGCCGCGTCCGTCACCTCCGACCCGCTGCCGAAGAGGGGGATGAGTCCAAAGCCACAGGAGAGCTGCTCAGAGCCCCCCTCCCCTTTCCCAGGCATGGCCACCACTTCCACGACGGCGGAGATGCTGGGGTGATTCAAGGAGGTGTGGAAATAAACCGTCTGGGACAGGAAAGGAGAAAAAAAAAAAAGGGTATTTCAGAGCTGGTAGCAGTAGCTGCAGGCAGAGGAAATACCTGTTGTATTTCAACAGTCACCAGCACAACCAGAACACCCGCTGGAGCTTCCAGGCAGCTCATGGCAAACAACTCCAGCACCACCCAAAAAACCTCAACATCCTTAAATCTCAAACACCACTGACTTTTTTTTTTGTTTTCTTATGTTGCAACAGTTGTTTTCCAGAGTAATTCGCAGGCTGCAGAGCCCATAGGAGCAGGGTTTCGATGCCCCCCTGAGCCAGGGGGAGAGCCAAAGGAGCTGGAAACCCTCCTGGTGTAGGTGGCAGGAAGGGACAGGACACAGGTCACCTCCCCAGGCCAGGATTTAAAGCCAGGTTAATCTTTCTATTAAAAACTCATTACCGCAGTGTCCCGGGGAAAACATTGAGGGTAATGGCAGGCTGTCAGGGAGGGATAACGGAGAGAGACATTCCCACATCAACCCAGGGAAATAAATCCCTATTCTATTATCTTTTATTGCCAACGTAGCGGTAATGACCGCTGGCTGCAGAGCGATGCCTCACCTTGCAGAGACACCCTTAAAGCACATCCCTTGTCCACCCAACCTCACCGTTCCCTCCCTGAGAGCCAACAGTGGTTTGTGATGGCCCGTTCCTCTCCCCAGACCCTGCGGGGATGATGCTGGATGAATCCTGCTGGTGGGGCCACCTTGAGGGGCCACATTCATGCAGACCCCCTTCTCCAGCCCCGGTGGGGCTGGCAGGGGTGCAGGCAGGGGATGTGACACCACGAGGAGGCTGTCAAGCAGCATCTCTGGCACAAGGAGCGGTGCCTTCATCCCTCCCTCCCCTTACACACCTCCATCGTGTCCGTTCCTGGCCTCTTTGCAATGCTAAGCTGTGGAGTAGCACGAAATTAAAAGATCCCACTGCTCAGCTGGTGGCATCACACCCACAGACCACCTTGGCACCTCTGCAAGACCCCATGAGGGCACAGGACAGGCTGCAGGGATGGGCAACGGGACTCCGGGACTGCAGAGGGGCTGGAAGTTTCCCCAGAACCCCAAAACTCCTGCCCCAACCTCACACCAAACACCCCTGAAGCAGGGATGGGGCTGGGAAAAGCAGCTCCTGCTGGTACCTGGTGAGGTGGGGAGAGGCACCGTGTTTTTCTCACCACAGCACACTCTGACATCATTTTTCATCATTTTTTTTTTTCTCTGTCCCTCTTCAAAATAGCAGGGGTCGGTCAGAAGAAATGAGCACCCCTCAGATACGATTTAAATAAATGAAGGAGCGTGGCTCTAATCAGTGCTACAGAGCACTGGGGGAGGTGGAAGAAGAGGTTTAATTACAAAACATGACATTGCTACTGCCATCCAAACTATGGGGCAGCGGGGGCTCCCCAGTAAAGGGGCACCCCGCTTGGCTGGTGTCAGCAGCGGATGGAAATGTGGCTTTGGGAGGGTTCAGCTCCCAGGGAAGGAGAGAGAAGCCTGAACCAGGGGGCAGGCTCCTTCTTTTCCTTCCCACTTGTGAAGAAACACTGCTCTCTGCCGCCGGCTCCCTACACAGCAGCCAGCACAAGGCAGCTCCCACACCATCACCAGATCCCAGTTTCCCCATTCCAACAAACCGTGCACACAAGGTTAACCATCAAGGCAGCCCCTGGAGTGCATCCCGGGCCAAGGATGGGGAAGCACTGGGAGGGAAAAGGTTTTGCTGCTGCTCTCTGCCTCCACACGGGAGGACACACCACCCAGGAGAAGGCTCAGCAGACAGACAGACAGACAAACCAACTGACTGTGGTTGGCTTTGGACTTGCTATTTTAAAAGGCTCATGGCTACAGTGTCCAGATGGGGGGCTCCCAGAGCCCTCCCAGAGCCCTCCCAGCTCCGCTTTCACCAGACTGATGGAGAAACCAGCACCACAGCACAGCAGCTCCAGGCTGACCTCAAGCAAAAATGGCTTTTCATAGAATGGTTTGGGTTGGAAGGGAGAGATGGCTTTTCATAAAATGGTTTGGGTTGGAAGGGACCTTAAAGACCACCTCGTTCCAACCCCCTGCCCTGGGCAGGGACACCTCCCACCACACCAGGTTGCTCCAAGCCCCCTCCAACCTGGCCTTGAACCCCTCCAGGGATGGGGCAGCCACAGCTTCTCGGGGCAACCTGGGCCAGGCTCTCACCACCCTCACAGCAGAGAAGTTCTGGCCCAGATCTCATCTCCATCTCAACTCTTTCAGTGTCAAACCCTTCCCCCTCGGGCTCCCCTCCCTCATCCAGAGTCCCTCCCCATCTCTCCTGGAGCCCCTTTAGGGACTGGAAGGGGCTCTAAGGTCTCCCTGGAGCCTTCTCTTCTCCAGGCTGAACCCCCCAACTCTCTCAGCCCCCTCTCCCAGCAAAGGGGCTCCAGCCCTCCCAGCATCTCCATGGCCTCACCCCACATCCTTCACGAGCCGAGGACTCCAAAGCTGGACGCAGTACTCAATTTTTCCCTTCATGCATTAAAAAAACCTCCCATTTTGGGCTTGGCCCTGCCAGCACAGATGCCCCCCTGCCCACCCTACCTCGTTGAAAGCCACCCTGGCTGGGCGCAGTGGGGTGGCACGGGCAGCTCGCCGGCCGCTCCTCCATGTCCTCCCAAAGAAGTGGTGGTAGGTGGCATCGAAGAGGGAGACACGTAGCTGGTACTCAGCTCCCTGCAAAGCACAACAGGACACTCCAGCCCACTCAGGGACACCCCAGCTCAGCACCCCCCAAACTGCAGAGTCCCCTTCTTTGGAGATTTTCAAGCCCCACCTGGATGCTCCTGAGTAACATGCTCTGACAAGCTCTAGGCAATCCTGCTTCAGCAGGGGGGTTGGACTAGATGATCTCTATGGTCCCTTCCAACTCTAAAAATTCAGTGAAATTCAGTGAAACACACTTTTAGCAAGAGAGGACAAATAATTCCAGTTTTCCAACTGATGCCCCAATCAGGCATGTGGTGGCGTGGAGCACCTCACCGGTTGAACAAGCAAAGCAAAAGCGTGAAAACTGAATATGAACTCTCTAACAAAGGGGCAGCAGACTTTGAAAGTTACCTGGGGATGTTAACTTTAAAACACTTACCTAAATTAAAAGTTAAATTAAAAGTTAACTTGAACACTAATTCAGATTTGCGGATAAAACGGCACGGGGGATGGAGACACGGCTCTGATTCGTGTTTTGGGAGATTTACAGTTAGCTCTCCCCCAAAAAAGAAGTCACTTTGTTTTACAAACTTTATACTTTATGTGCTCCCGGTGGCCCCGTGGGTCGCAGTGGGTCAGAAACCGAGGGCTGAGCACGAATGGTCCCCCCCGTACCTGGGTGAGGGCAGCCCCTTCCAGGTGCTTGAGGACGCAGCGGAAAGCGGTGGATCCCGGGGGGCGAGTCCGTCTGCGCTGGGGGTGCGGGGGAACGGCCAGGCTCCGCACGAACTCCTTCTCCCACCCGCTCATCCTGCCCCCCCGACGGTCTCCTTCTCCCCCCCCCCACCCCGGCGTGGGCTAGGGAGAGGGCTCGGCTGGCAAACAGAGGGAAACGCGGATTGCGGGATGGCTCCGGAGGACCCCGAGGGGACGCGGCTGAAAGGGGGGATCCGGGACCCGCAGGGGGACCCCGGAGGGGCGACCCCAAGCCCAACGGCACGGCTGGAGGGACCCCCACCGGCCACCCCAGGGTACGGTGAAACAGCCCTCCCGGTGGCCCGACGGCGACACCGGCCACCCGCCCCGAGGGGGAGCCCACCGGACAGGGAACCCCTGGCCCTGCCGGTCGCCCCTCCTGGTGAACCCCAGCCCCACCGACAGCCCCACCGGCCACCCCAGGGTACGGTGAAACAGCCCTCCCGGTGGCCCGACGGCGACACCGGCCACCCGCCCCGAGGGGGAGCCCACCGGACAGGGAACCCCTGGCCCTGCCGGTCGCCCCTCCTGGTGAACCCCAGCCCCACCGACAGCCCCACCGGCCACCCGTTCCCGCCGACCCCCGGTCCCACCGACCGTCCATCCCGGTCGGACCCCCCCAGGACCCCCGGCTGCACCGGCCGCTCCTCCCACACAAGACCCGTGAACTCACGTCACGCAGCCCCACAGACACATGTGCACGGAGCCCCACACGCCGAGCCCCGGTCCCGCACCGCCCACCCAGACCGAGCCCCCCCCGCGCACTCACCGCGCCCGGACGCCATCTTCTCGGGCCACACCAACGCGCTGCCTCTTCGGGGGGGTGCGGGGGGGGACGGCCACTCCGCCGCCGCTTACCACCCCGCTCCCCGCCACCCAGCGGCATCGTAAGATCGGGAAGACGGCGGGCCGGTGGCAGAGCGGTGCGGGGCGCTGAGGCGGCGGCGGGATCGGCGGCGCCGTTAGAGGCCTCTCCCCCCCGCGCGAGTGGTCTCGCCCGTCTCGGCTTCGGGTTACTAGGGCGATGGTGCCGCACCGCGGGGGGCGGAGCTTGGGGGGCGGGGCCCAGCCGGCGTCGCAGCCAATGGGAGCGGAGAGGCTCACCCCCCGTCATTTGCATGCGGCGGGAGAGGCGGGCGGCGCGGCCAATGGGCGGCGGAGGGGGGCGGGGCTTGCCCCCCACGAGGGCGCCGCGGCGGAGCGGTGGGGAGCGGCGGACGCCGGGCAGGTGCGGGGACGGGATCGGGACCGGGACCGGGACCCGGGGAGCGGGCGGGGGCGGGGGGCGATAACGGGGGGAGCCCGGCGCAGGCGCGGTCCCGGCGGCGCTCCGCGGGAACGGAGGGGGATGCTCCGGGCACGGGATGCGATGCCCCCACCGACCTTCCCCCGGGCAGCCCTCTCCCGGGCTCTGCTCCTCCCGAAAAGCTGCGATTTTGCGCACAGACTGTGATTTTTTTCTCTCCCCGGTACCGGGCAGCGCTTTGCTGCTGCTCCCGGTAACGGCTCCACTCGCCGCCGGTTCCTCGGGTGGCCCCTCGCCTCACCGCCAGCTCTCTGCCCAGTGAGACCCCTTCCCGGTGCACAGAAGCCCGCGGGGAGGGTGGGTTCTGCCCCCCGGTGTGGCAGGGCAGCCCCGGGTGGGTACGGGTGGCTGGTGACCCCGCGGTGTCGCACCGGGGACCGGCAGGCGCCTGAGCCCCGGTGACACAACACACCGGCAAATCTGCGTGGAGATCATGTGGGGTTTGGTTTTTTGGGTTTTTTTTTCCCAAAAAGTCTTCCCCTGGTTTGTCACGGGAGCCGTTGGGCGCCCAGCGGGGACAAAAACCGCCGCGTTTCCTACAGAAGATGGTGGCTTCGGTGCCCAAAATGAGACCAAGGGTGGTTGGGAAGGAGGACCCCCCCGAGGACACCCTCTCCAGCACCCCCCTTGGCCTTCCCTTCAGCCGTACCCCCAACTCCTGGGTTCCTCTGGGGGACGAGCCCCTCTCAGGCCGCTGATTTTTAAGGCCTTTTTCCCTGGGATGTCGTTTCCAGCATCTGCTGGGGATGCGCTCCCCGAACGGGACGGGGGTGCCTGCCTTCATAGAGCTGCCATGGTGGGGAAAGGGGGGACCCACTGGGGGTGCCAAGTGGGTCCCCACAAGTGCTGGCATGGTTCAGAGTGGGCACGGTGCTTGTTGGCCCCATCACCGGCCGGACCGCGCCGGGAGGGCAGAGGAGGTGGCAGGGTGGGTGCTGCGGTGAAGCTGGATGGAGGGGGACTGGATTTTTCCTAATTTATAAATGAAAGAAATGTTGTGGGGCCGTTTCCAGAACCCCTGACCCCTTTTTGGCTGGCTTGGCCTCTGGTTCCCATCTTCAATTCGGTGGTGCTATCGCTGCAGGATAACGGCGCTGGGCTGCTGCTGGGGACCGGCGTGCTCCCATCACCGGGGTGTCTCCAAACTGGGTGCTCCGGGGTGGGTGTTTTGCCCAAAATAGCCAAAAAAGCAGAAGTGGAGGAGGCCAGGTGGTGGGACACGGCGGGTGGGCCAGCCCCGGTGCTGGGAGGCAGCCCCACGGCATCGCCCGCGGACACCCGGGGTTTGTTTTTTAAGAAAAGCACCCAGCGTGGTGTGTTGGGAGCATCCTGCTCCGGGCTCCCCAGAGCTGCTGGATGAGCCCCCCCTCTCCCTCGCTCACCCCCACTTGCTGCCGGTGCCGGGCTGCGGCGCCGACACGGTTAAGGCACCGGCGGGATGGGGAGCCGGGCTGCACGCCACGGCACGCCACGGCGGAGCCAAAACTTGCCGAGTCAGGATGTGAGAGAGGCAGGGAAGGCTCTGCAGCATCCCTGGGTGCTGCCGCATCCTGGGGGGGCTGGGGGGGCTCGGCCTCCCTCCTCCACCGGACGCTTTTTGCCAGGAATGGGGTAGGAACCGGCACCTGCTGGGTTTGCCTCCGGCTGTCGCGGCCGCACCGGCACCGGCGCCGCTTCCCGGAACCTGCAGCTCCACCAGCAGCTGCAGGGGGGTTATTTCTATTTTTCTATATTTTTTTGGGGTTTTTTTTTGCTTCCTGACCTCCCATCTCCATTAAGAGCACCGGAGGCAGGTAGGTGGGTGCTGGGGGGGGTCGGTGCTGCTGTGGTGGTGGCTCGGTCGTGCGTGGCTTACCGGTGGGCTGGCTGGGAAGGGGTGTGAGCTGCCAGGTGAGACACACCGGGGACCCCACGGGGGGCTGTGTGTGGCCTGATGGACCCCCCCCCCTCGTTGCTTTTGTGCCAGCGTACGTGATGGCAAAGCAGGAATAACCCGGTCTGACGTGTGGCGCGTGGTTTTGGGCTGTGTCATTGACTCTTTGCCTGCGCTTCGGCGCGATCACGGGCGACCTCACGTGTCGCAGCTCCATCCCCAGAGCCTGGTCGCCTTCCTTGGCTTAATGACCAGCTCGTAAACAGGTCCATGATGGTGGGGAGGTGGGGGGGAAAGGCTGCTCTGCAGCAGAGGCTTTCCCCGGGCAGAGGGAAGGGGCAGGGCTGCTGCTCTGCGGATCCCTGCAGCGCCGGGGGGGGCACGGCACCCAGTGCCAGGCACCAACAGAGAGGTGAGGGCAGGAGGCAGCAGGTCAAACCCTGTTATTTACAAGGCAGAGCTGGGCAGTGGAGGTAATGGTGCTAAAGTCACCTTTTCCCGGGGTGTTTGGTGTGGGGGGGGTGTCATTTGCTGAGGACGCTGCTTGCAAAGCTGGTAAAATAGGGGTAGGAATATGGGAACAGATTCCTGGAGTGGGGAGATGCTCCGCGCTGTCTCCCCACATCCCTCCCCTGAGCAGCTGAGAAGGACACTGGGGTGCCCAGGGCAGGGGTCCCACAGCTCCCCCCGCCCCACTGCCTCACCCTTGGGGGCTCAGGCTCATCAGTAGGTGCAGAGGCTTCGTCCCTATATCCAAATTAATTCCGTGTGCAGTCCCACGTCCCCTTGCCCTGACGGCAGCGCGTTTGGGGGCCTGAGGTCTGCAGACCGTCCCCGGGACTGGCCCAGCAGGGCTTTGGCTCCTGGGGCTTCCTGGCCATAAAGCTTCCCAGTGTCTTGGCACCCGGAGAAGGATCCCAGTGGGAGCACAAGCATGAGGGGCTCCCTTGCACCCAGGTCCCATGCACACGCCGCAAAAGAAAACACTTTTCTTCCCTTTTTGTCTCCCCACATCCCTCCCCTGAGCAGCTGAGAAGGACACTGGGGTGCCCAGGGCAGGGGTCCCACAGCTCCCCCCGCCCCACTGCCTCACCCTTGGGGGCTCAGGCTCATCGGTAGGTGCAGAGGCTTCATCCCTATATCCAAATTAATTCCGTGTGCAGTTCCACCTCCCCTTGCCCTGACGGCAGCGCGTTTGGGGGCCTGAGGTCTGCAGACCGTCCCCGGGACTGGCCCAGCAGGGCTTTGGCTCCTGGGGCTTCCTGGCCATAAAGCTTCCCAGTGTCTTGGCACCCCCACTTTCCCACCACGTCATGCTGGATGGGGATAGGGATGGGGATGGAGAGGGATCCCAGTGGGAGCACAAGCATTAGGGGCTCCCTTGCACCCAGGTCTCATGCACATGGCGCAAAAGAAAACACTTTTCTTCCCTTTTTGTGCATCACCCTGCAAAAACTGCTGCGGCCACAGACTCGGGGTGCAGGAGTGGTCCTGGGGACACACAAACTGCCAGCACGGAGGGGACTGGGCTTTCGGCAGCACCTTTGGCTCAGAGGGCCCCAAGGTGCAGGTCAACCCCAGGGGCTGGGATGCTCCAACTCCTCAGGATGCTGAGCCCTCTGGTTTCCAGCAAATTTCCCCAAAATGCTGCCAGGCACTGCGCTCGGTCCCCCCAAGATGACAGATGAGAGGTATCAGGTCCTGCTGAGAACAGCACAGAGCTGAGCTCATCACACCACAGACCCCCAGGACGTACAGACAGAGCCAGTTCCTAAAGCCCTGCGATAACTTTGAGTCTTGGCTTGTGCCCACACGGGCAAGGAAGCCACACAGCTGCCCCCACTGCGGCTGGGACGGGGTGGGGGGTCCAGGGGCATCCCCCCAGCTCGCTTCAGCTTCGTTATACTGCCACTAATTAAGTGATGCTGAGCAGGCATGAAGCGACTCGCAGGAGTGTGCAAGAGGGTGCCCGGGCCAGTGGCTGCCGTTACCCTGTGCCAGTGCAGGCAGCTGCCTGCTGCCAGGGGAGGGCCATGGGGGGCATCAACGGTGACAGCAGCACCCCCAGGAGAAGCTGGGGGGGTCATGATGGTTTTGGGGGCTCAGCAGGGTCCTGCTCGGGGCGCTCAATGCAATGGTCCGGGGGCCGCGGGGGAGCATCTCCCTCCTGCCCTCTCAATAATTAACCCGCTTTATTGAGCCTGCCCAATCTCAGCCCTGGCACGTTTCTCGATGCCCAGGGGAGGAGGGAGATGGGGGCTCGGCACCGGGGCTGCACCGGGGCCGCAGCGGGGCCGGGGGCTGTGGTGGGCGGGCGGGAGGCTCCGCAGGGACGGGCTCGGCTGCCGCAGCCGCTGCCATTGGGCCGCGTGGGCTGCAGGGGCTGCGCCGGGATGCAGGAACGCCGGGCCGGGATGCAGGAGGGATGCGGGATGTTGGCACGCTGGGACAGGATGCTGGAGGGATGCAGAATGTGGGAGGGATGCGGGATGCGGGCGTTCTGGGCCAGGATGCTGAAGGGAGGGGAGATGCGGGATACTGGAGGGATGAGGGATGCGGGAAGGATGCAGGATGAAGGCACACTGGGCCAGGATGCTGAAGAGAGGAGAGATGCAGGATGCTGGAGGGATGCAGGATGCTGGAAGGATGCAGGGTGCAGGCATGCCCTGCTGGGATGCAGGCAGGATATAATATGCAGACACTCCGTGTTGGGATGCGGGGGGGATGCGGGATGCTGGAGGGATATAGTCATGCTGGAGGGATGCAGGGTGCTGGAGGGATGCAGGCTGGAGGGATACCCTGCTGGGATGGAGGCAGGATGTAATATGCAGACACTCCGTGTTGGGATGCGGGGGGGATGCGGGATGCTGGAGGGATATAGTCATGCTGGAGGGATGCAGGATGCTGGAGGGATGCAGGATGCTGGAGGGATGCAGGATGCTGGAGGGATGCAGGATGCAGGCACACTGGGCCAGGATGCTGAAGAGAGGAGAGATGCGGGATGCTGGAGGGATATAGTCATGCTGGAGGGATGCAGGATGCTGGAGGGATGCAGTCATGCTGGAGGGATGCAGGGTGCTGGAGGGATGCAGGCTGGAGGGATACCCTGCTGGGATGGAGGCAGGATGTAATATGCAGACACTCCGTGCTGGGATGCGGGGGGGATGCGGGATGCTGGAGGGATGAGGGATGCAGGATGCAGGCACACTGGGCCAGGATGCTGAAGAGAGGGGAGATGCAGGATGCTGGAGGGATGTAGTCATGCTGAAGGGATGCAGGATGCTGGAGGGATGCAGGGTGCAGGCATGCCCTGCTGGGATGCAGGCGGGATATAATATGCAGACACTCTGTGCTGGGATGCGGGGAGGATGCAGGATGCTGGAGGGATGAGGGATGCAGGAAGGATGCAGGATGAAGGCACACTGGGCCAGGATGCTGAAGAGAGGGGAGATGCAGGATGCTGGAGGGATGCCCTGCTGGGATGCAGGCAGGATGTAATATGCAGACACTCCGTGCTGGGATGCTGGAGGGATGTAGGATACTGGAGGGATGCAGGCAAGCCCTGCTGGGATGCAGGGGGAGGATGCAGGATGCTGGAGGGATGCAGGATGCTGGAGGGATGCAGGATGCTGGAGGGATGCAAGCGAGCCCTGCTGGGATGCAGGGGGAGGATGCAGGGTGCTGGAGGGATGCAGGATGCTGGAGGGATGTGGGAGAGCCCTGCTGGGATGCAGGGGGAGGATGCAGGATGCTGGAGGGATGCAGGATGCAGGCAAGCCCTGCTGGGATGCGGGGGGGGGATGCAGGATGCAGGCAGGCTGTGCCAGGACGCAGGCAGGACGCGTGCCAGGACATGAGCACACTGTGTGAGGCCACGCTCCCGCTGTGCCCAGGGCAGCCGGGGAAGGAGCCAGGACATCTCTCAGTCCCCATCCAGGAAAAAAAAAAAAAAGAAAAAAGCAGCTCATGACCTGCAGTATTTCATGGGCCTAAAGAAAGACATGTTAAATTTAAAATGTAGCCCCAGTTTTGTCAGGAAGCGTGGGGGTTTTCTGTGATACAGGAAACTGCTGACGGTGTTGCGGGATGGGGAGAGGGGGCAGGACCACGGCTCCCTCGGGAATCACACTGGATGCCCCCTGGCATGGGGATGGGGAGAGGGAAGGTCGGGTTCCTGGGGGTGAGCCCCCCGTTTTCCCTCGGAGCTCCGGCACCCTGGCTCACACAGTCACGTGCAGGCTGCGGGCAAAGCCGAGCCATTTTCCTTTCCTTGCCTTGTCCCTTGCGGAGGGACTCTTTAGTGATAAACACTGGCAAAATGTTTAATTTTTCAGGCTTGCATTTCATCACCATTTCCTGATGTGTCATAAGACCTCCAGGGCACGGGTCGGTGCCTCGCTGGGTTGCCCCGTGGCCATGCCCTGCTGGCCTCCGTGGGCAGCGAGGTGGGCAGTGAGGAGCCCCCTCTCTGCCTTTCCTGGGAGCCCCAGAAGTTTGGGGAGAGCATCCGACCTGGGGGGTCAGTGCAGGGCAGGGATGGAATGGGAATGGGGTGAGTTGGGGGGGTCAGGGTGGGTGCCCAGGGGTCTGGGGGCTGGCAGGGCTGCCGTGCCCTGCGCCGCTGCCCCCGCCGCACGCCCATCCGGCCTGCCAGCTCCTGCAACAGGAAGCACCGTCACGCGGGCGCCCCAAAAACTCACGTTTCTTCCTCTTTTTCTTCTTCCCCCGTGGCAGGGGTGAGGCGGCGAGCGGCTCCGGGGAGCCCAGGCTGGCTCCATGTATCCCGAATCCACCACTGACTCCCCGGCGCGACTCTCGCTGCGGCAGACGGGCTCCCCAGGGATGATTTACAGGTAAGAGGATGGGGGGCTCTATGGGGTTTCAAACATAGGGCCACAGCACCCCAAAATCCGCCCTGGCATGCTTTGGACAAAAATTTCTAGGACTGTAAAAACCCAGGTGGCAGCAACAGCGTTTTTGGGCGCTGCTGCCTGTTATGGGAAGAGTGGGTACTTTCGGGGAGCGTTGCCGGTGCCCCCCACCCTCCCTGTGGCTGCCAGCTCTGCCACCCGGTCCCTCTCCACCTTTCTAACGGGGTTTGTGGCATCTTTCTTCTCTCTCCCCTTTGCTGTCGGAAGCGCGAGGTACGGGAGCCCCAAGCGCCAGCTCCAGTTCTACAGGTAACCCAGCCCTTTCCCCTTCCCCAAAAAACTCCCCTCCGGGGCCAGCAGACGCGGTTGAAGCCCCGGTAGCCCCTTTGCATGGCTGGAGGGCTAGTTGGGGGGCAACCACCATGGGGGTGTGGGGCTGGGTTGGAGATTTGGGGAGCATCCCACACCGATGCCGCGCTGGCTTCTCCCAAGGGCAGCTCCAGGAACCCGGCCAGCGGCTCCGCTGCTCCTTCCATTAAGAGGAGCGTCGTTAAGTGGTACGGAAGGCAACGCATTTTTCCCCCCCCTGTCCCCCCCCCCGGCCCCGCGCCCCGTCCTTTTACCGTCTGAAGCGCAGGCAGCGCGTTTCCCCGCACACGGTGCCCCGCACCCGGGTGCTTCGGGTCCGGCCTCGCCGCGATGGGCTGGGGGCTTGGGGGCTGCCCCCCAGGGGAGCCATCTTCTCCCTGCTCCATCTCCGTGTGCGGCGGGAGGAGGAAAATCATGGCTGGCACCGGGGTGGCTCGGTGGCACCGCCGGCGTGCCCGTCCCGGTGATGTGCCACCGCCAAGCCCAAGCCACGGGTGGGTTCTGGCTGCCAAACCATCCAGGCACGGCCACACACCTCAACCGCTGGGCACATCTGGTGGGAAAGGCTGCTGAGGCCCGTGGGCAAGGAGCCAGCTTGCCCACGGGCTGCCTGCAGGCGGCTGCCACCAGCATGTGGCACCCAGCCCCGTGGCGGGGCTCCTGTTGAGGTTCAACAAGGCCAAGTGCCAGGTTCTGCACTTGGGTCACAACAACCCCTGCAGCGCTACAGGCTGGGGGCAGAGTGGCTGGAGCTGCCTGGCAGAAAAGGACCTGGGGGTGTTGGTCGACAGTCGGCTGAACATGAGCCAGCAGGGTGCCCAGGTGGCCAAGAAGGCCAACAGCATCCTGGCCTGTATCAGGAACAGTGTGGCGAGGAGGGCCCGGGAGG